ACCTCCTGCCTCCTCTAGACACAGTGCCTGCCACCCTGGGGGCAGGGTGCTGAATGCTGCGTTGGACGCCCTGTTTAACAGATAAGGCCAAGACAGAGTGCCTGTTCCAGGTCCCCCGAGCGGTAGCCTGTGGGCAGGAAGGATGTCACAGGTGAATGGCTGGCCTCCTGATCTTCAAACCCTTACAGCCGGTATGTTGAAAGATTGCTTTCCTACCAACAATCATTGCAAACAACTAATTACTATTTACCCAATAATTAACTCCCTTCCCCATTTTTTATTAAAGTTGCAGACCTCCTGTGGGCAGAAGTGTTCCATCCCCCCACCCCCCCCAAGACAGAAGGGTACCAGCCTGGGCCATCACATCACAAAACCTCATCTTGTGCTGGCTTTAGGGAGGAAGGAGTGTTTGATGACTCATGAAACCTAAAGGTCCAGGGGCTGATTTCAGGTCAGGCTGGATCCGGGTGCTCTGACAACGAATGGCATGTGGAAGCCATCTCTGTCCAGTTCTCGGTATGGCTTTCCTCTGCCGTGGCTGCACCAGGTATATTCCCTCATGGGGTGGCCTCGATGAGGACAATGTTGGAGGCCACCAGGTCAGCGACTCCAGCTGGAGGGCAACTGCAGCCTCCCAGGGCTCCAAAGTCCCAGGACTGCCACGCTTTGGCTGCACTGGAGACAGGCACCACCCCAACCTCTCTCGGTGATCCTGACCAGCCACACCTGGGACCGTCTCCCGTCCTGGAGCCCAGGGGTGGGGTTGGCCCCCTGGACCCATTGGAGAAAAGGTGGAATGGTTTCCAAAGAAAGAGCAGGTGCTCTGTCTCCAGAAGAAGGGGTGCAGCAAGGGGCCGTGGATGTGCTCAGGGGCCTGTGTGTGCTTCCCAGTCGCGCTGCAGGTGCCCGGGGCATCAGGCTCCAGGAGAGGAAAGAGAAGGTGACCTTGAGGGCAGAGGGCATAGAGAAAGTGGTCATGGAGGGAAATTCTTTAGCTGTGTGACCTTGAGCAGGTCATTTAACCTTTTGTCCTTCTGTTTTCTCATCCGTAAAATGGGAATAATCCTAACTACTCTGTCTGGGGGCTAGAACAGGCTCAGAGTGGTGCCTGGAACGTTGTAGGCGTTGTTAGTTACCGTTATAATCTAAGCGCCTTCCCTGTGCCAGGGGCCATGGCCATCCTTCCCAGGCAGGCACCAGGGACCCCAGCCTCAGGCCCTGCCCCTCCCCAGATCCAAACCTGCTAATCTCCGTCCACCCCGGCCTCCCCGCTGCTCCAGGGCCCCCAGCCCTGGCCTCCTTCCACCTCTCACCTGACCCCTGTGCATCCTCAAGAGGAAACCCAGGCCCCTCTGGGACTTGACCCTGACCCCTCTTCCAGGCTCCTAGCTCCTGGAGGGCCCCACCCACTGCCGGTTCCCCGTGTACCACAAGGCCTGGGGAGGGGCCCTGGGCCCAAGAGGGCCAGGCCCACATCCTGAGGCACCAGGAGCAAGATGTCCCTTTGTCCTCCCCAAACCAGTGAGGGAGGCTGTTTGATCTGCAGGGGCTGAGGGACCTGCCCAGGTCGGACGGCCAGGACGTGACATGGTTCAGACGACCACCTTCCCTTCCATCTAGGTGACTCCAGGCCCTGAGTTCATTCCCACCCAGTGAGAAAGGAAGGAGAGAATGGGGCAGAGACAGTCCTTGGAGGCACCAGCAGGGGGACCCTCACCCAGCCCCTCCAGCCCACCACCTGGCTGCGGGGAGCAGGGAAGCCCAGGGACGTTCTCGGTGTGGGCGCAGGTGCAGGTGTCCTGAACAATGGGACTGCTTCAGGAATGACAGGCAGGCAGAGTGCCTGCACCTCCCGCTCCAGCCACACCACTGAGCCATGACAGCCCCTCCTGGAGGAAGAAACTGAGCCCGGGAGCCCCTGCCTGGCCCCTCACCCTACTGGGCTCCAGGTCCCCTCAGGGTTCCTGGGTTTCAGTCCTAGCCTCCTCCAGGGGCAGTCCCCTCCCCCAGGCCTCAGTTTCCCCCCGAAGCACATTTCCTGCCCAACCTGAACAGCTGAGCACTGGGACTTCAGGCTTCCTGGATCCTCTGCACAGCAGTGGAGGACATACAGCCGGCACTCAGTTCATGCTTCGTGTTAAAATCAGCAGAGTTGAGCTCTGGTTCCAAGGCTCGCAGGAGCCCTTCCCAGATGAGCCACCAGGCAGGTCTCCCCTCCGTGCTCTCCATCCTGGGGTTGGGGGGCACAGAGCTGGTCCGCCAGGAGGGTGCAGGGCCATGGGGACCAGTTTACACACCACCAGGTGTGTGTGCCAGGGAAAACCCAACCAAATGTGGGGATGGAGTCTTGGCCACCCCCCGACTGCTGAGTGTGGGATGTGGGGCAAGTCACCCAGCCCCCAGGGCCCCAGCTCTCGGGGGCCTCCAGAATGGAGAGCTGAACACCACTCGTGGGGTGGCTGCAAGGACACAGCGTGCCAGGAAATGTTGGTGAAAGTTTCTTTGCAACCCCCCGAGCCCAGCCATGAGGGTCAGGGTGAGGGGTAGGGAAGCAGTGGCCAGACACAGCACGGCTCCCCACATCCCTGCTGGGAGACCCCAGGCTCCCTGGTCATGGCCCTAACTCCGCAAAAAGATCACTGAATACTTTGGACTTTTGTAGAAGGATGGGGAACTTATGGTTTTCATCCCAGGCTGGGAAGGACTCTCACTCAGCATGTGCCCAGAACCTCTTCTCTGGGGGGCTCCCCGAGAGCTACACCAGGGCAGGAGAGGTGACTGGACACCCCCAGCCAGGGCAGCCTGAGGGGCCCAGTTGAGAGGACCCTGTAGACTTTTGTTGCCCTCAAGCCTCTGTTCCCTGCGGGCCGGCCCTGACAAGAGCCAGGTCACCCATCCACCTGGCCATTGCTGA